CAGAATGACGCCATGTGAGCAGTTATGTTATTTTTTGTACTTACTTGAGTGTATGAGCAAAAATTTGCTTCTTTGCTAACATTTGCTCTTTTTGATGATATGAATAATAATGATAATAATCATATTAATAATAATAATAATAATAATAATAATAATAATAATAGTATTAATAGTAATAAGGATAGTAATAATGATAATAATCATATCATTAATATAATAATAATAATAATAATAATAACAATATTATTATTAATAATAATGATAATATTGTGGGTGTGAAATGATGATGATTCTATATTCAAATTTTTCCATGATTTCAATACATTTTAGCATATTTATGCATGAATGCTTACAATTATCATGTTTCAAAATTTTTTCTGCAATACACAATCATCATACATCCTTACTTTGCGAATGACAAATAACTATTACTTATAAAAAATTTGCAAAACTTTTCCATTTTCATCTTTTCCGGTAAATATTTCAACAATGCTTTCTTAGCTACCGTTCACTACTACTTCTTGCATATAAACAATTTTAACTTTGTATTTAATCAGTGTAAAATGTTTCTTGCTTGAATATAGTCTAGTCTAACCCATATGACTTATACTAAACTAGCAAATTAGTTAGCAATATACTGTAAATTATCCCATTTACTGCTCAATTTTTTCGTTACTTACCATTTTTACCATTCGATTTTTCTGATATTACAAAATAATAGTATTTTTTGTAACATTTAATTGCTTGAAATTATTCAACTTACAATCTTCAATTTTATTTATTACAGTTTTATAATTATTTGAAAATGAAATTTAAAAAATTGGCATCTAAGTGTGACTTTACACTTTATAATTTAATTATAAAGTAATTTGGTGCAAAAAGTTATAAAAATCATTTGACATGATTAACTTTATAACCTTATAACTTCATATTCAGAAAACAATAGAGGTTTGAAGGAATGAAGTAGGAGGGAAAGTAATTCTGATCGAACTTTAATTTTTTCACTTACTTTTTCAAATTTTTTATATATAAATAAATGAATTATTTATTCAACGAGTGCTTTCTGCATATTTTATGGCAAAATTCATTTAAAAAAGACAGTAATAAGCAGACACTTTTGTTTTAAATCTTACAATTTTTTCCTTATCAAAATAAATTTTAATGATAATTACTTTACAATGTTTAGTTTTCTGCATAAAAACTTTTAAAATAAATATAACTTTAAAATTTGCATAGCAGATTTTTTTGTCAGTTATGTCTCAGTCTCGTTTTTCGTTTTAAATTATATTCTAACGATTAAACTTTCTAATATAAGTATGTAAACAATAATTAAAGCTTCAAAAATTAGAAAAATTATAGTAAAATCATAAATGAATGAAAAATAAGACTTGAAGGTTTGGACACTGTGATAAAAGTTATTTTTAAAAAAAGCTAATAAATGATCAATTTTTGTAATTTTTGTAATTCACAAATCTTTTTCACTTTTCATTACAAAAGTAATACTAGAATTTGTGTAATTTTTCTTACTTTGAAGTAGCAATTTCATTATTATTTTTGAGAAT